GTCACCCTCAAAGAAAAACCCAAACAACTTTGTTACAAACAAAAATCTCACACTGTCCTGGTCAATTCGAACAGCTGACATCTCATTCAAACCACTTCAAGTTTTGCTGTGGCAGACAATGGAGCTATTTATACATTTCAAAAAGAAAAAGCCAAACACACACATATTCCTTTTTCCCTCCGCTATTTTCAAGACATAATCATAAACCACAGCTTAAAACTCAAAGAAAAAAAAAAGCAGATTGAAATGGAATGAGTGAAGAAATATGAAAAAATTATTCAAGCAGCCCCAAACATCTAGCATCCCTTTCATCATCATCACAATCGAAGACTTTGTAGAGCAAACAAAAAATAGATTCGAACTAAAATGGCTATTGGCTTCTAAATAATCAAAGCTACTGATTATCATAAAACACACAACAGGATGGAATGCTTACAAGAAGGTCAAAAAGTCACAGAAGAATCATTTCTCTTCAGAAAAAAATAAGAAAATCATGGATTGACAGCAAATTATTGGAATTTTAAATCGTTTAGGAGGCTGGCAGCTTACACCTTGATTGTCAGGGTCAACCCAAGCTGAGCATGGAACAAATTCCCTTCAAGAAAACTGAACTCGTGCCTTCTGAGAGCCTTGGTGAAGAACTTCACCTTCAAACAAAAGTTTTGTTTGAGTAATGAGAAGCACACCGACAAAAGAACTGTCATTCAGAGCTGGGAAATAGTCAGGCAAATAGACAGAAACAACAAGGAAGGAAAAAAAGAAGTAGGACCTACCAGTAACACCCTCCAACCACCCGCTTATACAACAGACACGGGTGAAATCAAGGAAAAAGAAAATGTCTCCAACAACAGCAATATCCAGCCAAGTTCATGAAGCACCGTGCAGTTTTAGCACATAGCGAGGAGTTAGGAGAACAAAAAAATCAGAACACTGTTCACGATTCTGCCGAGTTTCTAAGAACAATTCATCACAACAACAAGGGTTTTACTCTACCAACAATCTGTTCCCAACAGAAGACCATTTTCTCATAACACAACACCGATTGGTAAAACAAATGACTTTTCAGTTTCACTCCTCAGTCTGTTCAAATCAGAATTAAATGGTCATTTATTTACACAAGTAAGGCAGAATTTGTACATTCTAAACATGGAAACCCCCCCCCCCCCCCCCACCCACTTTGACATAACACACACAAAAAAAGTGTGATATGGAAACATGTGAGCATCTTGGGATCAAACCCAAGCTGACTGAGAGCAAGAACATGTCGCACTTCATTCAAACTGGACACACAAACAAGACACACTTGTAAGCGCACATGGAGAAGGAATGCTGAAATCTTTGGGGAATCAATAACATCTTTCAGTAGAGAAAGAAATGGAAACAGTCCAACACGATATTGCAGCATGAAGATACGTCTGACCAAATTCTCATAATTTGAACAAGAAATGTGTGCAGCTACATGACAAAATGAGTCTCTTGTCGCACTCAGCTGTTTCAGGACATTGGACAAAACCTCAGTTTCCTTAACTCATTCGCTACGCCGAGCCGTGGGGGGGGCGGCGCGGTTAATGTGCCGTCAGTACGTTAAGCCGCCCCCGGCGGCTCGGCGGCTCGAGAACCGATCTTCAATTTTAGCTTAGATTCTATTCCAATCCACATATCCATGTTAAAATAAAGGTCATAATGTAATGTTGACTTCCGGGTCAAGTATTTCCACTGAAAATCGGGAATTTAGATTCAGTTTTGAAACGCGATTTCGTAGTTTATTCGACTTTGTTTTATCGCGATGCCAAAGTTATAGCCCGGACACCAGTCTGAGTAATTTTACACAATAAAATCTATCATTATTTATCCCACTAAAGAAATGTAGGACTCTTTTTTTATAATATTGATACGATTGGACTCATATTACCAATGCATTGTTATTGAGAAATCAATATTTTTGAGTGCTAGATCTAGGTCTAGACCTAAATTGTCAAAATATTTTTTTCTCCCCAAAATCACTACTTTTTGATGAAATTACACAAAAAGTGCCACTCAAGACATGTATAGGTTTATTCCAAATGCAATTCTGAATAATTCCATATTAGATAAGAGTGTTTTTTTTCTGTTCGTGATCGTTTTTCAAGATTATAAATTTTTTAATTCTTTTTTCAATATCGGATGTTTTGATCCAAATGTACAAATATTATGGGTATGTAAATTACTGCAAACTTTTCAATATTTTCCAGTATATTCATTAATGGTTATTTTGATGTATCATTTGACTAGGTGCAAACATATTTTTTGAGTGTCACCAAAGATTATATATTTTTATTTTGAAATTTTATTTGCATCCAATCAAAATTGTGTTGCATAATCGCCTCTTACAGGAACCAAAGTTGACTTTTAACTGCCCACTAGTCATCATCTCTTTCGCCCTCCTGAAAAAAATTCGTCCACAAGCTGAAAATAATACGTAGCGAATGAGTTAAGTCTGTTTCAGAGTCCCCATCTTTCTCATCTGGTGACTTTTAATTTTGAACCAAAACATCTGGATCGATGCTTCTTTCACCCACTAGAGAGACTTGAACAAATTTTAAATAATTTCACAATGTAATACTGTTGTTCTGTCAAAATGTGACAAGTGACTCGCTTTGTCTTGTTGCTACAAGCAAGTCAGGAGTATTCTCTGGCTGCAATAGAACAATTTTACAAGGCACACTTCTTTGATTGTAAAAGTTTTACGCCCCCATCAACAAAAATTACATAATTTCACGTCGGGCAGAGATTTTTTTGTCTTCACACCAAACACTGCAGTTCCTTGCAATTTAAGACAAAAAAAGTCTTTGTTGCACGGTTCAATACATGGCAACCAATGTTTTGGCATGGATATACAATAACAATTGTAAGAGTTCATATTATACAGCCACATTGACACAATTTAGAAAGGGCACACTGTTAGGACCCTGCCTGCCCGGGCCGACAAAAGAAAGATCCTACCACACAGATGGAGATTCTTGTATACAATACATGTCATAGAGGACATACAAACTCTTCCACATCGCGGGAGGCAAGCAGAAATAATACAAGTACATAAATCCACTGTAATTTGAGCTTTTTGGTAACATTTCAAAGGTGATAACTGAGTTTTTGAGGTTTGTCAAGAGGTGCTTTCAGCTGTTTGCAGCAGTAAAGAGAAGCACACCAAAGCAATAACAATTCTTTAGAGCAAGGACAAGGTCAGACAGGGAGACTGACAGAAAATAAAAGAAAGATAATAAAGAAACAAAAACCTCCAACCAGCTGCTAGAAGGAAGTTCTGATTGCAAGCATCGATCTCTCTCTCAGAGGACAGTTACAGGACCAGACAATGGCTGACCACAAGTCCACCGTGACTCAACGACCCACGCGACTTCCTTAATGGCACTGGAGTATGTAGGTAGACACAACAATAGCAATCAATGTCTTCAAAATCAAACCCTCGTCTTTGCAGAGAGAGGACCCTTAAAACAAACAAAAATCAATCGTATATATTTTTGTCGTATATAAATCTATATCGCACACCTTTATGGGTCTGCAACGTTTTGTGAAAATGTATAAGACACAACAATACCTGTACCTGAAAATGGCAAAAAAGTCATTTCCTGAGATTTTTATCTTTCTGAGAGGGCCAAAAGGACAACCCAATTTAGTTTTTTTTAAAAGATGATCTCATCCTGAGCACGGATATGAGAAACACAACAACACCATATACGTTCACACCCTTGGAAGTGGACGAGTAAACGTGATCAAACACGATAAACACTCTCGTCTGCGAGAACACAGTCGACACTTGTAAGCACACACTGCTGCTCTCTATATCGCCACCTGTCAGCTAGAAGTGACCACTGTGCCGATTTTGATAAAATAGCCAAAAAGAGCAAAACTGACAAATTCAAACATTCCATTACAGCTATTATTACCCAACAAAAATTTACACGATAGTTTTACTACAACTGTAATTCTTGATGTGCCTGTGCCCATTTCCAAAGGTGTTCTGTTTTACACCTTGCATTAAAAATCTACTCTTCTCAAAACAAAGAATTTGATTAGTCACCACTAGCTCTCAGCCGGCGATATCTGAGGGCGTGTGCATAAACTTTGGGTCTCAGAAGCTGCTGGGTCAAAGCCCACTATCTTTCTTCAAACCATGGATCGATAAACTACATAGTATCTTATGACTAGAAGGAACACATGAACAAAAACACCAAACCGAACCACGAAACATCACATAACACAATATCAGTCATTTAGAGCAGGGGGGAAAATGAGACAGATGGACAGAACCAGCAGAGGAAAAGAAAAGAAGTAGGAAGACCTACCAATGGCACCTTACCACCACCCGCTTTTCCCATTAAAAAACTATTACAACTACAAAACAGTAGAGGTACTCGTTCGTGTCCTCATAACTTAAAAGACGACGATATGTACTGCTGAATTTAACTAGCCCAAACACAGAAGTTGGCTCAGCCCCTTCGCCCGGATTCATTCAATACTGATATTCATCATGACATCCAAACGCAGAATCACATCCCCCTCCCATTCCATATCTACGAGGTGTCCATTACTCTTTTAGAACAGTCATATGCTCACTTGAGTTGTCAAATACTTGTCATCTGTACGCAGTCCAAACACATAATCCCCCCATGTTTATACTTCCTCTCACTTATCTTGTGTGTGGAGGGGAAGTGGGAGGGGAGGCAGGGGAATAATTCTCAATACTGATATTTTGCATGCCATAAACTGCCAACCAAACATCTGTCTACCTGATTTGAGCAAAACAATATAACCACCCTTCCCTTGCACATGTCATAACAACAATAAAAAGAGTAGCAGAAACAATGACAGAAGTCATTTTAACTGCATAGAGCTCCACAACATTTCACCTTACCTCCCCCCCTTTCACAGACAGAATGAATAAAAAAACAAAAAACAAAAAACAAATACACCCCCCCACTTAGACATGGACACACACACACACCCCCCCCCCCACACACACACACAAATGACTGCCAACTGCATGTGAAAGAACCTAGCCCATCCTGTATCCCCTTGCCCTGCTCACCTCCCACCCAGTAGTCACTGCCACAAACACAGTACAAGGGGGGGCTGGAGGGTGGCAGCTTTAGGCCCACTGGACACTACTGTCACAAAAAGTTGCAGGTCATTTGATGTTACTATGGCAATAAAAATGGTTTACTTGAAGTTACTATAGCGACAACATTTGTTATTATTGGTTATTTGCACTAGTTATAGCAAAGACAATAGTAATTTGATGTCACTCTAGCAACACCATCAGCTCCTTGAATTTACTATAAAAATTACAGCAAAACCTTGCAGTAACTATCGCAACAACAACAACAGTAACTTGAAATTACTATAGCAACAATATCAAAACCTTGCAGTAACTATAGCAACAACAACAGGAGCTGACAGAAAGGAAGGTCATCCCTTTCCTGACCCACCACCGGCCATGATGCTGCACGCAGTCTACAAGGCTTTGATAACAGAAGGCAAATCTTTCTCCTCATCACCGGCCAATGATGTGAAGACGACAAAATGAAGGCATCGGTCTTCTCTCCGCACAGACAAAGACGTTGGTCGGTCATCTCTTTACAGACAAACAAAGACTTTCGTCCGAAAACAGACACAGACATCAGGAAGTGGGTTTGGAAGCAGACGACTCGTCTTCCCCAGCAGCTGCAGTCTCCGTCTCATTCAGTTTTCTCCTCTTGGCGTAGTACTCGATGCGTTGCTCCAGACTCTCTGAGGGGGGGGGGGGAGAGGAGTTTAGGGAAAGGTTGAGTTAACTTCTTTGTCCAAATCGACTGTTAAGTGTAGGAAATAACCATACGCTGTTGTGAAAAGTAAAGAATGATGGGAGCCTTATACTGAGCGGTCAAAATATGAACTATGATATCTCAAGACGTGCGTAAAAAGGACTACTTATAAAAAGGGGGCAATTTTTCATTTTAATTCTTAATAATATATCAAGAGACGTTAATGTTACTTTGACTTAATTTGAGTAAAAAGAGATGGTCACTCAGCCTATGGAAAATGCAAGACGAGTGAAAGAAAAGAAGTAAAACTTAGCTGCCACCCTCTAAAAAAAATGGTCCACATCAATGAAATAACCCCCCCCCCCCCCCCCCCACCAAAACAACCCCATGTGATCCAAAACCTATGCCAACACGACCAAACTCACCACACAACTGTCTCTTGAACAAAGGTTTGTGGACCCGTGGCTTGTTGCCAGGGATGAGCCACTCGGACTGCTGCAGGAGGGGAGCGCTCAGCTCATTCCACGGGGCGATGTCCGATTCTGTGGGAGGAGGAGAGGGATTGTTACAGAAAGAAGGGGAAGAGAATTCTAGTTTTAATGCTTAGTAAGAGTTTTATAACACTTGCAACACAATTAGGTCATAGAAGTGCTGAAGATTAGAGATGTTACTAGAGAGTAACAAACACACATACAAAAAATGGCAGAAAGATGTTTGATAGGAAAGAAGGAGCAAACCAGAACAGCTGTCCACCACCCACCACTATTTATCAAGTACATTTTGTGGCAAAGATGCATTTCTCTTAAGACACCTTTCAGCACTTTCCAAACATACCCCTACCTAAGTTCTCTAGGTACGTTGTGTTTGGTCTACCTCTGCCTCTTTCACCTTTTATTTTCCCACGGCACCATGTTCAATGCCCTTATGTCCATTCAAGTGTCCCAGTAGCTATATTAATCGGTTCTTAATAGTTTTGATTACTCGGACAATTATAATTTCCATTAGCGTATGGCACAGCCGGCCTCCTAATCCACCTACCAGTCTCCACCTTGGCCACATCCAGCTCCTTGAGCATCCTCTTCAACATGGTAGCTCTGGAGGAAGAAACAACATCAGCACCGTCAACATCAACAACACCAGTCACACACGCCGTGTTTATTTTTTATTCAAGTTTTACGGCACTTGCAACACAATAAGGTCATAAAAGCGCTGAAGATAAGAGGTTATACTAGAGAGTACCATAATATTTTTAAAAAGGGGGAGGAAAGAAAAGAATGACAGATTTTTTGTAGGAAGAAGAAGCAAACCACATCAGAGCACCTGCCAAACACCCACATTCCTTGCTTTGCGTAAAGAGGAGTGCATCAATATACTAACTAACAGCCATACAGTGAGTGGGAAAAGCAAGATAGAAACAATAGAGGGACGAAAGTAAAGAAGTAACAGAAACCAGTGGCATGTTCCAATCTCCCACATTCCTAGTTTGTTGTTTCGTGCAAGTAAGGAGAAGTACACTGACTCAATAATGGTCATTCAGTGCAGGAAAGGGCTGGATACACAGACAGACAGAAACAACAGAGGAAAAGAATGTAAGTAGGAGCCACCAGTGGTACGACCCTTTAATCACTCACACAACATCCCAACAGACAAACGGAGAAACTTGATCAAATGACCTCCCCTCTCACAGGTATTGTACTCACATCATCTAGAGAACAACAACTCCATCACAGGCACAGCAAGTGTTAACCAGATCAAGAGGTTAAATACTACAATAGAAAGTGTGAAACAATGCTTGTACGGGTCAGGGTTAGGGTTCGAGTCTCACCTGACAGAATGCTGGGCCCACATCTGCTGGAGGTGTCGAATGTTGTCTTCATGCCAGTCTGTGGAATGCAGAGACAGAAAATTGTAGGTATGACTTACACCCTCCTACTACCCACTGAGACAATTATGAGACCTACTAGTGATGCCCTCCTATCAACCCCAGAAATAGTGAGGAACATACTTGTCTAAACAGGGGCAAAAGCGTCACTGTCTTGCTTATAAAGTAGCACATGAACAAAAATTAAATGTGACAGTATATTGAAAAGACAATTAGTTTGTTTGAGTAAAAAGAAGTACATCATCTATAATAATGGCCATTTAGTGCTGGGAAAAAGCAAGTAAGATAATACAGACATAAAAGAGGGGACAGTAAAGAAGTAGGACCTATCCAGGGCACCATCCAACGACCAATAGAACTACTTTTACCATTGTTTTAAGGATTTCATGCTTTGACAATATGTAAATACAACTGGAAATAAAAACGTCATTTTTGTTTAACCCCTAAGCTCAAACGATAAGACTCGACAGCAGTAGC